CCCCCCCCCCCAGTGGGGCACCTAGGGAGGGCTGGTGCAAGCCCTGCAGCTCCCGGGGCTCCTCTCCTGCCTGTCTGTCTTCCCCGTGGTGGCTGTGGGGGTGGGGAGTGGGTTTATTTTCGGCCGTCTCCTGGCTCGTGCCGCTCCCAGTTTGTGGCTCCCAGTGTCACCGACGCTTCCCCGTGCCAGCTGGCAGCAGGGGATGGATCAGGTGGGCACCACGGTGTTGTGCCCCCGGCCAAGGTGCTGCTGAGGTCTCCTCCCTCTGCCTGGGGTGAGCCCTGGCACCCCAACGCCAGTGGCTTGATGTTGCTGCTGGAGATGCCAACCCTATGGGGCAGGGTGGTTCCCTCTGCCCCACACTGCCTGCCCGTGCTGGCTGGTTCTTCAGAGACCTCCTCTGCACGCTGGAGGTCTCCAGGAGCTCCGAGTTGCCCACCAGCAGCATCAAGGCTGGGAGGAGCTCTGTGGTCATGGAGGTTCTTGTCCTTCCCCTGCCGAAAAAGCAGTTTTGGAGTTGGTTTTCTTCAGCACTGAGTTCAGCTCTGGAACCCTCGGCACGAGAAGGAAGTGAACCTGTTGGAGAGGGTCCAGAAGAAGGTCACCAAAATGATCAGAGGGCTGGAGTTGGGGTTGTTCAGCCTGGAGAAGGCTCTGGGGAGACCTCTCAGTATTTAAAGGGGACCTGTAAGAAAGGTGAGGAAAAGCTTTCTAGCAGGGCCTGTTGTGACAGGACAAGGGGTGATGGTTTTAGACTAAAAGAGGGGAGATTCAGACTAGATAGACTCAGACTAGATAGAAGGAAGGTATTTTTTATAGTGAGAGTGGTGAAACACTGGCAGAGAGGTGGTAAAAGCTTCATCCCTGGAAATGTTCAAGGTCAGGTTGGACAGGGCTCTGAGCAACCTCAGCTATGTGAAGATGTCCCTGCTGATAGCAGGGTGGTGGGACCAGATGACTCGTATGGGTCCCTCCCAAGGATCCTTCCTGTGATCCTCCTCACTGGTCACACCTCGCAGCAGGAAGTGAAGTCACACGATGACCTCACAGACCTTGGAGATTCCTGTTCTCTCCACAGCAAAGACACACAGACACTCAGTCCTCCCCTGGGCTCCCTCCTGGGCTCCCTGGGGATCTGCATGGAAGGATTTTAGGGACTGCCTCTTCCCCTGTGTGCCGTTGGTGCTGCAGAAGTTGGCACACTGCTTGCCAGTGTCATCTCCCTGCGTGACCCAGGCTCAGGGAGGATCATTTGGATCCTCCTGCTTGCTGGGGCCCAACGCATCCTGAAAAATGCCCTGGCATTTTAGCATCCTTGGAGCAACGGGGAGGGTCTGGCCAGCATCTCAAGGCTTGGAAGATGACGAGGAGGATGATGACGATGAATTCAGCTCCTCCTGCCACTCCATACCGACTCCGACACAATCCAAGAGCTATGACAGTTCAGGTGACAGTCAGGCAGAAGATCTGGGAGAATCCACCCCCTTTTCCCTAAATACCCAGCACTCTTACATGGTGAAAGACAAAGTGAAAAATGGAATATATGCTAAGACGCTGGCCAAGCACGCACTGGAGCTTGAGGAGGAAGGTCAGAAGTTTCAGGAGCTGTTTTACAAAGGCACAGAAACGCCTGGCAGCTTGTCTGAAGATGAGGACCACGGCTGGACCTATCAGCTTCCTGTGCATCAAAGACCACACGTTCTCCAAACTGGTTCTTATGACTCTTTCCAGCACAGCATGGGCTTCCAGTGGGGCAAGCACTTGGGGAAGGATGCCCTTGCCCCATCTGCCCATGCCAACAACCCTTATCTGGGGGACCAAGAGCATACCAGGGGAGCAGAGCCCCAAATGCTTCATGAGGAGGCCACCGGGGACACAGTGTTCCCTTCCCTGCAGCTGACCAATGACGTGCTCAAGGAGGAGAACGCCATGCTCAAGAGGATGGTCAAGAGCATGCAGAGCTCCTTGGAAAACCAGGCGTGTGTGAGGAGGAGGCTGGAGAAGCAGCTGAAGGACAACCTGGCCAAAGAGGAGAAAGAAGCCCAAAAGCTCCAGTCCTTTCTCCAGCAAACCAAGTGGAGTCTCCAGCTAATGACCCAGCGGGCTCTGGAGGCAGAAAGCAACGTGGAGAAGCTGAAGCAGGACATCTTTGTTCTCCAGGGAGAGCTGGAGAGGTCCAAGATGGAGAATGAAACCCTGAGAGCAAGCCAAACGACTGACCTGGGTGCGGTGAAGCACAACATAGACTTCGCCTTGCAGAACCTCTACAAGATAGTCATGGGAGCAGACTGGTCCATCAGGCAGCTCAGCTATGGGGCACAGTCGCTGTATTTTGTTGCTGAAGTCCTTAAATCTACTGGGAAATTTTCTGAATTTGAAGCAGAACAAAAGCCATGATCTCAACTCTCTGTGGGTCCTACAGATGGGGGTGTGGACCAAGACTGTGGGTCTCCCACTACAGCCTGTACTAAAACCATTTACTCCCACATGCTCGGGTGTGTGTGTTCAGATTTGTAGCCTTTAATCTGTGTGGAAATAATTCTCTGGTGATTTAAGCAGGTAGTGGTGTAGTTTAAGCTGCTCATGTTCCATTCTCACACCATGGAGCCAGCAGCAAATGTTTCCCAGGCTCTGAGCTGCAAGGTCCCAACGTGGTGGGCTCTGCGCAAGAGTTTGTGCCCCAGCTCTGGCTGACTTGAGCTCCTGTGTGGGAGCTCAGGAGGAAGAAGAGCAGCATGGGGTGCAATGCTCTTAAACCATGCCCACCCCTTCCCATAGCTGTCATCAGAGCTGAATAAAACCCTTGCATTTCATCTGCTTCCCTTGCTCCTTCGTGAGGAGGTGGGGAAGGTGAGGAGCAGATATCCAGGTTTCAGTGAGCAGAAGCTTCTTAGGGCGTTCTTCTTTTTGTTTTTTTTTTTTTTTTTCTTTTGGAGCTGGCCATTGCCTGGGCCAGAAATCCAAAGCTCTGAAGCATCCACACATGTGAGCTGTGACAGTGCCCTTCCTCCAGTAGCCATCTCAGTGCTGGCTAAGGATGAGCTTGGCTTATCCAAGCTGGCTAAGGAAGGTGCTGGTTGGAGCAAATGCTTTTCCTCTCCTGGCTGGAGCTGGTGGGGAGGGGTTTTTTTTGCCTAAATTGCCTGCCATTGTCATCTAGGAGAAGATCTTTGGGGCCCTTCAGTTCAAACTCCCCATTGAATCCCTGAAGATACATCTTAGCTTTATCCTAGCAGGACCATCTGTGGGCATGAAGTGATATTTCTTCATCCCCTGGTCATCCCTCAATGTTTCTGATGAATTTAGGTCACCACCCCCAGTTTCTGCTGTACATTTATCCAGCTGCACAACAAAATTTCCTGTAGCTGGGCAAAATGACCCTCCTGGAAGGCTTGGATGCTGTAGATTGGTGAGGTGGTGGATGCTGGCAGAGTTCAGTGCCAAAACGCTTTCTCCTGATGGGAATTTTTGGGCAGCTGTTCATTTTTACCTCAATATGGTGAGTTGTGGCTTACAAGGTTGCTGTCTCCTCCTGGCCCCATAATACCCTTGGTCTGAACAATTGTGTTTGTGTTGCCACAGAGGTTAAACCACCACAGTAGCCTTGGTCTCTGGAGGAGAAGCTGCTGGTTTATCTTCATCCCAGGCATGACAATGGCAGTGCTTTCACATCAGTGGTGATGCCTGCAACTCTTTACTTACTACTTTGGAGTCTCTGCTCCTAACTGGGAAAATTTGGTGGTCACCCTTCACTACATGAAGCCCCATTCTGCAGCACTGATGATGAGTCAAGGATGGTTCTCACCAGGTTTTCCATGCCAGACAACATCACTTGCTGTTCCCCTCTCCTGTCTGTGCGTGACCACTTGCAAGCAGCTCTAAACCTTGGATTTGACCCCAAAAAAATCCTTGGATTTGTCCCAGATAGGGCAAACTCTGGTTGCTCATCAGTGAGGCTGGGAGGAAGCGAACTAGCTGGCTCTGTCTGCGTCCTGTGCTCCCCACTGGCTGCTGTAATCCAAAGGTTACAGCCCAGGATTAGCACGGGTGTACAAAGCCTTTCCTAATCTGTGAGTCATTGCCCCCTCGCTGCATTTCACTTCCCAGCAGCTCTGTGCAGGAGGGACAGGTCAGCTCTCGGGTCCTCGGGTCCTCACTTTGGGACATCTGCTGGAGATCCTCCCCAGGGCTCTGCTGCTGAGCTGCTCCTCGGATGCCCTACACAGGGCATGGCACAAGGTCTGTTTGCTCTAACCACCTTCTCCTCAGCTACCTCTAAGCTCTTTCTTTCCACTAGTTCTCCTTTTTGGCTCTACCCGTTGCTTTTCTTCTCCTCTTTGAAGCGGGGTGTGTGTGTGGGGGGATTTTCTGCACCCTCTGGTAATAAATCCCCTGGGCTAAGGGGGATCCCGGAGGGCTGCCATGCGTGTGGGTGCTCCCTTAGTCCTTGTGTGCAAGGTATTTAGCCAGGCTGAGCTCTTGTCCTAGTGTAAGCTATGATATTAATACAGTGGCTCAGGGCAAGGGCCCTGCCAGTTGCTCAGCTGTCGTGCCCTTGGTGTGGAGAGCGGTGGCCACCCAGCCCTGCAGCTCCTCACCTGCCTGAGCCAGGCTGCAGCGTGGTGCCCCGTGGACACCTCCAGACCCCTCCTGAGCCCCCCACTCTGGGATAGGTGCCATGCAGGGAGGTTCTGATGGGGTTTTGCTTCATCCTTCTCTGCAAGGCGCGTGCCCAGGAGCGCTCGCAATGGCAGCGTGGGTTCCAGCTCCCCAGAGGTGAAACCAGGAGCTCCCTGGTCCCATGTGAGTGCTGCTGCATGAGATCCCGTGTCCTCCCAGCTCCTGCAGCCCCCTGACAGCTGATGAGACAGCGAGCCATGGGCAGCGTCCGAGTCAACCGGTGAGTAACCCTCCTCTCAACGGCTGGTGCTGCCCCAAGTGGCCCCGTCCTCCTCAGCTGGACCCTCAGGCCCTATCTTCAGCCTGTCTTTTGGTGTACTTTTCCCAAATTACCTGCCAGGGGCTTTCCTGCTCCAAGGTATGGTTCCTATCTCCTTCTCCAATCCATGAGTGCCGTGCTCAGAGGAATACTACGGAGGAGAAGCAAAGGGCTGCGTGGTGCTGGACCAGAAATTACAGATTCCAGCAGCTCTACAGAAGCCCCAAGTCCCCAGGAATCACAGCTCCAGCCACCAGTGCTTCCCTCACCATGAGCTGAAGATGGGGGCCACAAAGCCTACACTGGAGGGCTCCAGCTGACATGTCAACACTGGGTGGGAGGGAGACACTCAGCCCGAGGGGTCCTGAGAGGCTGCAGCTTGGCTGTCACGAGGGCAGAGTGGTCTTGGTGGGTCTGTGCCCTTGCTTGGTTTCCTCAGTGCTCAGAGCATCTTCTGCCATCACATCTTTAAGGAGCATCTGCAACTGTCCCAGCAGCATGAGAGGGGCGGTGGTGCTGCATGTGAGGGAGGGGTGCTGGAGGGGCAAACGTCTCCCAGAAAGCCTGTGTGCAGCTTCTGCCAGGGGAACTGGCAGCGCTTTAGCTGTTGATCTTCAAATTACACCTTTGGCTTCGGATGCAGGAGGCTGGGAGCCACGCACGTTTCTGTGGCAACAGCATTGTCCCGAGCCCAAGGAGTGTATAAACATTGTCACCAATGCACCATGAAATCAGTGAGGAGAGTGGAGCAGGAAACAGAAATTCCTGGCCTTAGAGAAGGTCAGGGCCAAAACGTGGCCAGACCGCAGGTGCTTTACTTCCAGGCTTCCCAGCTGTCAGGTTTCAAAGTCTTGGATTCCTCCTACCTGGAAGGTAGCACAGCAGTACAAGCTTCTCTTGCTTTGCTGCCCCATTGGGACTTTGCTAGAGACAACCTCCTGGCATCAAAACTAGGTAAATTATTGCCTCTGAGCACCACCAGTGCAGGAAGCAGGGAAACGTGCTGTCATGATGTTCAGACCAGCCCTGTGAGCCACCCACACGTCCCCTGCCCTCGCTGTCTCAGCCGTTGCTGTCGTTCCTCGTGTATTTCTCCTAGAAAAGCCCTTTTCCTCTCTTCCAGGTACAGCATTGTCTCGACAGAGGAGGATGGACACAAGGTCTCCTCGCTGGGCAGCATGAACGGGCACAGCCGGAACGGGAAGGGCCACGTCCCCCGGCGGAAGCACCGCAACCGCTTCGTGAAGAAGAACGGCCAGTGCAACGTCTACTTTGCCAACCTGAGCAACAAATCTCAGCGCTACATGGCCGACATCTTCACCACCTGCGTGGACACGCGCTGGAGGTACATGCTCATGATCTTCTCCGCCGCCTTCCTGGTCTCCTGGCTTTTCTTTGGCTTCCTCTTCTGGTGCATCGCCTTCTTCCACGGTGACCTCAACGCGCCGGCGGTGGGAGGGGGTCCCTCCCTCCTCAAGCCCTGCATCATGCACGTGAACAGCTTCCTGGGGGCTTTTCTTTTCTCCGTGGAGACGCAGACGACCATCGGGTACGGCTTCCGCTGCGTGACGGAGGAGTGCCCGCTGGCTATCATGGCAGTTGTGGTCCAGTCCATCGTGGGCTGTGTTATTGACTCCTTCATGATTGGCACCATCATGGCCAAGATGGCGAGGCCCAAGAAGAGGGCCCAGACCCTCCTCTTCAGCCACCACGCCGTCATCTCCGTGAGGGATGGCAAACTGTGCCTCATGTGGCGGGTGGGCAACCTGAGGAGGAGCCACATCGTGGAGGCCCACGTCCGAGCCCAGCTCATCAAGCCCTACATGACAGAGGAAGGGGAATACCTGCCCCTGGACCAGCGGGACCTAAACGTGGGCTACGACGTGGGCCTGGATCGTATATTTTTGGTCTCTCCCATCATTATCGTTCATGAGATCGACGAGGAGAGCCCGCTCTATGGGATTGGCAAGGAGGAACTGGAAACGGAGAACTTTGAGATTGTTGTCATCCTGGAGGGGATGGTGGAAGCCACAGCCATGACCACGCAGGCTCGAAGCTCCTACCTTGCCAGTGAAATCCTTTGGGGTCATCGTTTTGAACCCGTTGTGTTCGAGGAAAAGAATCACTACAAGGTGGATTATTCACGCTTCCACAAGACCTACGAGGTAGCTGGCACACCTTGCTGCTCAGCCCGGGAGCTGCAAGAAAGCAAGATGACTATTCTACCTTCTCCCCCACCTCCCAGTGCCTTCTGCTACGAGAATGAGCTGGCTCTTGTCAGCCAAGATGAAGATGAAGACGATGACGAAGTGGGTGTGGTGCTAGGGGGAAGCACCAAGGAGGAGGGAGGCGTCATCCAGATGATGGATTTTGGAAGCCACCTGGACCTGGAGCGGCTCCAGGCAACTCTACCCCTGGATACAGTCTCATACCGCAGGGAGTCAGCCATCTAACTCCT